ACACACCCAGTGATTTCCTCAATTACAGTAGCAGCAGCAGCACACACACTCTCAGCCTGGGGCAGCTATATAATGAGCTTCAGCACACTGTTAGCATCACGCTACTGTAGTTTTCAAACACAAACATACTGTCAAATACTCTGCTTTTAGATCTTTTAAGCTGTGTTTTAGGGTGCTTTCACACCTAGGGCCCTATCATACACCCGGCGCAATGTGGTGCAAGGGACGGCGCAATAGTCTTTTGGTACTTTTAGCTCGGCGCAAGGGTCATTTTGAGGTGTTGCGGCACACTGTTTAAATAGCAAATGCATTTGCGCTCAAATGTGTGCCCATAGGCGTTCTGGTCTAAAAAAGCAGGCGTGTTTTGACGCGTTGCTATTTTGAGAAACTGTAAATAGTCTGTTCTTTAGACCAAAACAAAGTCCGTCTATTGTCTGGCGCAAAGTACGCCTGGCTTACACACTACACACAAGATGCAGAGCAATACGCAATTATCTTTACATATATATATATATATATATATATATATATATATATATATATATATATATATATATATATATATATATATATATATATATATATATATATATATATATATATATATATATATATATATATATATATATATATATATACATACATACATATATATATACATATATATATATATATATATATATATATATATATATACATATATATGCCTATTAATAAATGATTGATTCATATTAATGATGTATAAAACACTTTCTCTCTGCAATGATTGACGCATACTGCATTTTTTTTTAAAACAACACTACAATGGGCAGCCAATGATACTTCATGCTATTTCTTTCTGTAAAAAATGTAACATTTTTAATCTACCTGCCAACAATGGCTATTTGCTCCAAAAGTGTTTTAAAACAACACTCTTTTAAGCCATTTCAGAGCAAAAACATCATCAAATGGCCAAAAATATCAAGATTTTTCCGGTAATTTCACTCAGCCGGTATCATATAGATCAACATATTTGTTGAAACAGAGGCTCTGTCCTCCAGCCCCAGAGCAGTGCCACGCGGCGCAGGATGAAAGAGCTCCATTGAGCTGTGTGTGTGTGTGTGTGTGTGTGTGTGTGTGATGGAGGAGGGGAAGGGGCTCCTCATCCGCATACATGTACACAGACTCAAACACAGCCCCACATACACCCACAAACCCCTGAATCAACAGCCAGATCCTCCCATGATGCAACACTGCTTTTAGACTTCACTACTGCAACTGTCTACTACTGAAGTTTGCAATGGTACAGACTGCTCATGGTCCACTTTGCATCTCGGTATATAGGGTCAAAATATAGGGACTAAAATCTTTCTGTGAACTATTTCACAATATACATTTATTCATTCATTCATTTCCTTTTCTTTAAATAATCTGGGGTTGCCACAGTGGAATGAACCGCCAACTTATCCAGCATATGTTTTACGCAGCAGATGCCCTTCCAGCTGCAACCGATCACTGGGAAACATCCATACACTCATTCACACACATACACTACAAACAATTTAGCTTACCCAATTCACCTGCACCGCTTGTCTTTGGACTCTTTTGGACTTTTAAAAGTTTTTTTCTACATATTTATAAACATAATAGTTTATTTATACTCTGTCCTAATAAACTTATTTATTTTGTGTTTGCTATGATGACAGAAAATAATATTTTACTACATTGTAAATTAGCAGTTTTCCGTATTTTATGATTCATTCATTTTCTTGTCAGTTTAGTCCTTTTATCAATCCGGGGTCACCACAGCGGCCTAGTGGCGGGTCTGAGCACTGCTTAGAGATCAACTGGACATCGGACCATTGCTGGAACGATCAGTGCTGTTCAACCCGAATGGGCTATCTGTGTGCTAAACCACTTGTACCGTGTTAGTGTGACTGTAACCACAGTGGAATAAACTGCCAACTTATCTGCATATGTTTTAAGCAGCGGATGCACTTCCAGCTGAAACCCATCTCTGGGAAACATCCATACACACTCATACACAATGGACAATTTAGCTTACCCAATTCACCTGTACCGCATGTCTCTGGACTGTGGGGGAAAACGGAGCACCCGGAGGAAACTCACGCAAACGTGGGGAGAACATGCAAACTCCACACAGAAACGCCATCTGACCCAGCCGAGGCTTGAATCAGTGACCTTCTTGATGTGTTGCAACAGCACTACCTACTGCGCCACCGCGTAAGCAGTAGCTGCGTCCCAAATGGCACACAATAGACTATGCACTATGTACCCATGCACTTAGAAACTCAACAGTATAGTATACGTATGTAGTGTCTTCCCAAATGGAGCACTAATGATTTTTTACTACGCGGAAATTCAAACAATTTCCCAGATGACGTTTGCCGGTTGCTAAATAAATCAAATAAACGACCAAACCATCAAATAATACCTGCCACGAGTATAACCACATTCACCATCGGGAGGCGCTATAATCACTCTAGTAGGAGATTTTTGCTTTCACAATCCAAAATAAATGAAGTAACCCAACATGAGCACCCGATAGCTCCGCCCCTTCCGCTACATGAGCGAAACTGACGTGGTTGAGTGCGTGAATAACTCCACAACTCTTTTTACTGGTCGAAAAAGTGCATCCTTGGGTAATTAAAGTGCACTTATTCTGTTAAGAGTTTTCAGTGAGAACGCACTGCTTACACTATCTATACAACAAAATG